AAAAAAAAAAAAAAAAAAAAATTAAGTCGGTAACTATAAATTTCTATTTCATAAAAAATATTCCTTTTTCCTCGTGTCTAGTTTAACATGACTGCTTCATTCTTCTGATGAAAGCAACTATAATAGGTTAGCTTGACCATCTCATTCTAACTAATGCTTTAATAATAATAAGGCTTCTTAATTCAAATTCTGTTAATAACCCCAAATTTCTCAAATATTACCCTAAGAATAGTTCCCTCCCTAAGTAACTCTCTGTAAAATGTCACTATTAAAATGTTAACTGAGGAACATTTAACAGATCATCCAAATGCAGTATTTTCTTATTATAATTTGTTTTTTCCTACCAGAACATAAACTCTATGAGGACAGGGATTTTTATCCACTGCTGTAGTTCCAATGGCCAAAACAGTAACTGACACATAAAGAAGTTCAAGAAATATTTGCCAAGTAAATTATAATCACCATTTACTACAACATGATTCCAGCAGTCATTAAAATGCAAAAAATAAAACAGAAATTAAAAGGATTTACTTGGCTCAGTCACCTTTATATAGACTTCTGAATATGAAGTCCCCCCAAATTATCTGCTAGTAGTTCTGAAGACCTAGAAAAAGTTGAGACACAAATTAGTATAGAAAGAAATAACATTGATCAACACACAGAATGGAATTCTACAGCTATATTAACAATTTTGTTTCTGTATACTATCTTGCTTACCATCCTACATCTATACTATCTTGTTTACCACCCTACGTCCATCCAGCACTGAATTTTTTGCCCTTTAATCTTTAATTTTTCCATAAAGCCAGAAACGAGAGGGTAGGGAAGGAAATTATTTGACATAAATGGTAAATACTTCTGTCACTGGCAAATTCTTCCCCTTCCTTCAAATTAGAATTCTCTCTCATTTTCCAAGGGACTCCTTCTTTTTCTCTCTCCTAAGAGGTGATTCCCTTCTCCACTGAACAGTTCTCAAATTCAGAGATCTTTAACCCGATGTCCGATAGCTGTCCAGCCAGACAAGGGCCCATCATCACCCATTAAATTACAAGTCCATATTTATTACTCCTTTTCTTTCCCTTCATTCCACATCATCTGGTTTCTTGTCCTACTATAAAAAATAATGATAAAAGGGAGTCATTTCTATGTGTGGTCAAATGGAAACATGCTTAAAAAAGGGGGCTTAATTTTCTACCTTCCAAAAAGAAAGGTAAAATAGGTGATCCAGGACTTTGGGGGGAAAATGATCAGTATCCTTTAAGTCTCTGGTGTTTTTTCCAAAAAGTCAAATTTAACACTGGCCAGAGTTATTAACAGCTTAAAGATTAACATATCATAAACATGAAAAGAGTTGTTCATAGGATTCCAGTTACCAAGCATTAGAAACATGCATTTTATTTACGTTGTTTTATGATTTCTAATTTAAAAAAACCGGAAAATAAGCTATTTTTTAGAAACAATTTAAAATAGTATACTCAGAATTAGAGAAAGAAAAAGTATCAAAGTAACAGTAAAAGGAAGGAAGAAATAAAGTACATCAAGGGAGAAGCAATAGCAAGTAAGAAAGAAAAAAGGAGGAAAAGACAGAAATAGATGTGAGTGTACAGTGTGGGGAAAATGTATCACAATTTCAAATTCTTATTAACTATTTCCCCAACAATCCATCAGAAACCACAGGAACACTAGGTAAGTTCTCAGATTCAGAAACAGAGACAGCCTGTACCTTCCAGTAGTACCGAGTACTCTCTTTAGGAGGTGCCATTTACATACAGTTTCTAGGGGAAAGGATGTTAGATAGAACATGCCAGAAATATTTCTTAATGACCCCATCTTTTTAATTGGGTTCAGAAATGGCCAACAGTCTCTATATCATCATTCTGACAGTCTCTTCTCTATATGACTTGCTGAAAGCACAAGACCTGTATGATCTCCCTGGTCACTCACAGAGAAGACAAACAAAAAGTGTTTTATGAACAATTCCAACAGAGATTTCAGAAGAAGAAATTGCATCAGACAGGTGAGGCGGAAGCAGCTGGGAGACAAGAGTCCAATAAACAACCAATCCAATGAAAGAAATTCAGAACAAGTCTGCTTCAGTAATCCTGTGAAGAGGACTGGCAGGAAGAGGAGTGCCGCTTCAGAAAGAGAACAGGCCTCATATGCTTCAGACAGTCTTTGTACTGAGGCTGTGGACCTTGGCCATTCTCCCAGAAATGATGCAATCCTGATGAACAAGATCTGCTGCCAGAGAAACAATTGTTAACAGCCTATGCAGACAGCAACTCAGCCAAGGAGCAATCTCTGATCAACTCACTCCATAAACCAACAGAACGCCAAATCTCTCTTCCTCAATTTCAGTGTCTGACAAAACATAAGTGAACACAGTATATATTCAGATACATAAGAACAAGCCATTTTCTCAAAGTGTCCTTTTTCTTTTAATTTCTTTGGCTGTACAATATCCATTATTACATTTTAGATAAAATACTGAACATTTTTTACTTTTATAAATACAATTATCCAAGCATATCAACATAACAACATAAATATGAAAATGTATACTTATTTTCCTCATTCTCGTAAGAAAACCTTTTTGGGAGGTAGTGGCTTCCCTAAGCATAAAAATTGCTCTGAAATCTATCATCCAGTTATAATATTTCAAGTAAAGACAAATATACACATATTCTAATTCAGAGACAGAAAATATATTTCATAGATATTTTTGAAATTAGATAAAAATCAATGTTAAATATTGGCATCTATTAGAGAAAAGAGAAAATCTAATCTTGCTTAGGCTGACATACAAGGTAGACTAAGCAGTATCATCTCACAATAATAGTACTTATAACAATCACTTTTTTGAAGGGCAAAAATATTACTTCAGATCTTACTAAAGGATCAGATTATTTTAATCTTATGAGCCACAATTTACTAATTTAGAAACTAACTTAAAAATATCCTCAATTTAATAATCTTCTCTAGACTTCTCATCTCCTAGGCCTGGTTTCTTTTTCAGAAGTTTTGGTATCAGGTTTTTCACACAGTATTATAAAATTATAAAAAGTTGTTTTTTCTCACTAAATAAATAAAAGATCCTGTATAAAGCAGTTCTCTAAACTTCAACTAGCCAAAAGTCATAACTAACCAAATTTCTTCCTTTTGAAAGCAATAACCCTTAAACTGGGATTCATGAAAAAACACAAATATCTAAGATATATCCTGAAATACAGCTATTCAGCCCAATCTACTACTTCTATATACTACTAAAAAACAAAAATGAACAGATACACAGAATAGCTCTAAAGCACTAAAAATACTTTAATAGGTCAATAAATGAAAAAATTTAACTCGGGAAGAGAAAAACACTTTTTGGGACTATTTCAAAAGGGTTAAAGTAGCTAATAATTTTTTAAAAATCCAATTTCTGAACTTGACTATTCAAAATTTTATTACATATAGGCTGAATTTCTTCTTAAATACATTTATAGTTCTTTGATTTATCTTTTGAATGACTTTACAAAATAGTAAAAAGGGGAAATGGGGAAAGAATATTGGGTTTTCTGGTATGATGATTTTTACTCTCTACATAATTTTTAAATCACAGAACAGTCCAGAATACAATAAATATATGACTGCTTCTTATCTATATGACCAACTTTTATGAGAATGAATGCGGCAACTGCATTATATACTTATCTTCATCTTCATCTCAAAGTCAAATATCTCAAGTAAAATCACTGTAGCTGTACCATGACAAACAGCCTTTTACCTTAGGAGAAGAAAAGTATGCTAGGAAAAAGCACTATTAGAGGCTGGGTGCAGTGGCTCACATCTGTAATCCTAGCACTTTGGGAGGCTGAGGCAGGAGGATCGCTTGAACCCAGGAGTTCAAGACCAGCCTGGGCAACATAGTGAGACCCATCTCCTAAAAAAAAAGAAAAAAAGAAAAGAAAAAAAGGCACTATAATAGGAGTTAGGAGACTTGAGTTCTAGTCTACAACATAATTAGTGACCTCAGAAAAATCACTTTACATAGATGATCCCTAAATTCCTCAAAGTAAAATCTTCATTGTGTGTCTTCCTGCTCCAGATTTCTATGAATCCTGGCACTGCTGCCAACTAGCTTAGGAAATTCACAGAATGTCTCACAGTCTCAGTTTTCTGAAAAAAAAAAAAAAAAAAAAAAAAAAACCCCAAAAAACCAAAAAACACAAGAACAAAAACAAAAACAACAAAAAAACCTGTTGTGCTGACCCATAGGCACACATGGACTAGCATTTGCAGCAACTAAGAGCTTAAATAACTTTCTGGTCCCTTTGAGTATACGTGAAGAAAGAGGAGCTGCTGCTAATAACCGGAATATGGCTAAACACTGTTTTTATTCTTCTCCAAAAGCATGTATTTCAAGTTTGCTACAGCAGATAATGTGGAAAGAAAAGATGTGAGAAACATGAAAAAAAAAAAAAAAAGAGAGAGAAGTGTGAAGCATTAGAAGAAACAAATATGAGTTACTGGAAAACAAAGAGATGAACTCTAAAAGAGCACTCAGAGATAAAGTGAAAAGTTTATGTATTTGGAACAGTATACATTAGGCTTATAATCTGAAGCAAATTAATGCAAGCAAAGAATTTAGGGGTTGAGGACTGAAGGGAAAAAAGAAAAGAGAGAAACACTGATTGGGATAAGCACTGGAGACAGGAAACACCATGATTTAGTAATTTAAAGCAAAAATAAAAATTTCCTTTTCCCCCCATCTCTTCTACAATACCAGTTTATTCCTTTGCCTAAATTTACACTCACTCTAGGAGCTACTGAGCTTGGCATAATAAACTGATGTCTATAAGAAATCTAAGTTTACTAGAATAAAAGGCCATTAAAAGACAACTTAAAAAAATCCTACTTTAGTCTATATTAAGAATTTCCTTCTCCATAAAAGAGTATTATAGAGACCAAGTCATACTTAGTAGTATGTGCAGCAGAAGAAGGGAGTGGCAGTAGGATAAGATTACATACCAAAAATGATATAATTACTATTATTATCTAAATATTATGATTGTAAATTAACACTGAAGAAAAAGAAATATTTTATTTACAACCCATTTAACAATGATAAAAAGGTATTTACTGTTAAACTAACCAACAATACACAGACTCTTTGTAACCTTAACAAGAATCAGGAAGATTTTAGACTTCTAAGTACCAAATAAAAATGATGCCCTCAAATAATTTAGACTGACTAAACCTCTTTAAAGAGTTATACTCTCAATACTTTCTGAAGGTTCTGTCCTACTGTGTTCTTAGGCTCAGAACATGTGTGAGACCAACGTACCAAACTAGAGTAGGAAAAGAACTTCTCGTATCTCTACACGTGCCTCCTCTGTGAATTCAGATCATTTTCATTTTCAAACCCCAAAACGGGAGCCACTTTTACCTACTATAGATGAGGTGGGTTGTGCACACTTATGAGCCATTAATATCTGTATTTTTACTTTCATTAATTTAGGCAAAATTTCTCCAACCGATGAAGAAACAGAAATGAAGAAACAGAGCTACAAAAAGATTAGCTTGTATGAAGTCTACTACACACCTACAGTAGTAGAGTAC